TCTAAGGTATAAGCTGTGAGTAGAAATAACTAATTCTGCTATGGTGATATTAAACTGAATATTTTCTGAGTTTTTCCTATATACTTATGAAGTTATATTTATACTATTATTTATATCATGTCTTATTTCTTTATCATCTAGCTAAGAGATTCAATGAATCTTTATTTATAAAACCACTTAGCTATAATTTTTTGATGGGTAAAATAATTAGATGCTAGGAATTAAAGTATGTTTTATGGAACAATGCTTACTTTGAAGGAAAGATTTTTGGAGAAGCCTACAGATAGACTGAATTTTAAATAGTCTTCTTTATTAAGCCAAGTGAAATACAGTAGATAAAGCCATTAAATAACAATGGCTGTACAGCAATTACATCTGACCTCTTTGCAGGATCAAACCAAAAAAAAAAAAAAACAGTTAAGTAGCCCTGGAGTTCAAAAAAAAAAGATCTTAATAAAATAAGAGTACTAACTTACTCCTTGATGCTTTTATTAGCTGTCGACTTAAAACACATTGAATTGAATGCAGGCTGCCAAAAAAAATATCTGATGATAGTAAAAGAAGATTAAGGTAGGTGAGTAACCCTCAATTTTAGAAAAAAAATGAATGACACTATGAAAGAAATTACCTTGACATAAATTCTTGAATCAAACAAAAGCCAGACATTTGTTGGAATTGTAATGGTAGGATGACTTCTAACTGATAAACTTTAACTTGTATTAAACCCTACTCATAATAGCTATAGAGATGGAAGCTAAAAGGAAAGTGTTAAAATTACTGACCAAAAGCACACTACCCAGGTCCTTGTACTGAACATTTAAATTAGTTTCTTTATCTCCAGTGAATATAAAGAGATCTGTGAGTCATGAGATTTCTTCCTCATAGGAATTCGTCTTTTCTGTAACTTGCCTGCTGCTATTCAGAAATCCATGTCTAAAATTTAAACCCAAGAAGAGTTTCCTGAGGACAGAAAAAGAAACTGACAAGGAAGGCCTTAAGGTTTCTTTTAAAGAGTCTGAAAAATGAATGAAATCACAGATGTAACTTTTAAGACAAACGTTTATCCTGAAAAATAGTGGAGGCCACGTTGTAATTATTAAAAAGGCAGAAATAAGTAAATACAAAAGAATTTTGCCTTCGTCACCTATACAATTAGTTTCTAAACAAACCAAACATCATCAACTGACTGTGGCAATGTGTGTGTTGACCATTTTAATCAACAATTTTAATCTCTAGGAAAATATAGGTATTACCAATTTAAAGATAGGCACAATGGATGGTTCTGGGGGGGGAAAAAAGAAATCATGAGCTCGGCTCAGAAAGACAAAGGCTGTATGTTTTCTCTCATTTGTGAATCTTAGATCCAAATACAGCCTCCAAGGTAAACATACAGAGGGAGAGATGGATACTTTCATGACCCACTTGATTAAAGTACTAGTATCTGCAGAAGTGAAACTCCATGGGGCAAACTTTTTGAACAATTAATAGACAGTGTAACAAAACGAGTATCAGGAAGCTGAGGGGTTTTTATTGGGTGCTAGGATTAGTAGAACAGAGGTGATGAATGGGAAAAGGAACAGTAAACAAATTCAGTTATAATACATTGTATTTATGTGAAAAGGGGAAGTGGGGAACTCCATGTGGCTGGGCGGGGGGGGGGGGGGGGGGGGGGGGGGGGGGGGGGGGGGGGGGGGGCGGTTGGGGAAGGGTAGGAAGGAGGGAGAGGGAGAAGGATGGCAGGAATGACTCTACTCAAGATTCACTACCCACATAAATGTGGATGTTACATTGTATTCCCCGTGCAACCATTCATAGATAAGGAAATTATGAAAATAAATACATAACAATAGCCAGGCACCTAGCTACTCAGGAAGTTGAGATCTGAGAATAACAAGTCAAAGCCAGCAAGGTCAGGAAAGTCTGTGATACTCTTACTGCCACAAAAGTACCCAAATGCCAGAAGTGGAGCTGTGACTCAAATGGAAGAGCACTAGCTTAAGCAAAAGAAGTTCAGGGACAGAGTCCAGGTCCTGAGTTTAAACCCAAGGACAGGCACAGAAAAATTAATTAGGTAATTAGCTAATCGTTTGTTAAAAGATAATAGAAGATAGACAAAATAAGACCCTCTTTGTCATTCTGTTTTCGCTGTCTCCCTGTCTCCCTGTCTCCCTCCCTCTCTCTCTCTCTCTCTCTCTCTCTCTTTCTCTCTCTCTCTCTCTCTCTCTCTCTTCCTTTTCCCCTCCCCATTCCCCTATTTGTATATGTGGTCTTCAAAAATACATCTTGAATGACCCATCACCTCTCCTCTCCAAATACATCTTACGTCAAGAATCTATACAATGAAGAGATCTTATGATGCAGATAGGTTATTAAAAAGTTGACAGGAAAAATATCTGCAAAGTGAAGAACTTCATTGTCGATGGTATCTTTAAGATGAAAAATAAAAGTACATATATGTCTATTCCAGCTTTATGTTGAACCACATTTCATAACATACATCTTCACTTACTAGATTTAAACAAAAAACTCTAGGTGCTTCAATTTAATGAGAGAAAACAAAACACTCTGATGCTTTTCTAAGTTGAAGTGGGTCTCATGACTGACCACAGCTATTGCATATTTATTAATCACTATGAGAATCAGAAAGACAAAGTTAATTCATTTTCTGGTGTAGATACGACATTCTAGCCAAAGATTTCAATAATAATTTGCAATCTTTTGTTTCATGGAATAAAAAGGAAAATTTGGGATGTAATGCTATCATATGGGCCTTTTTTATCAAGGAAGTTTCTGAAATTCTAACTACAATTTAGGTTACTTTTGGGAGTGACAATATTCTACAAAGGAATTACTGAATTCCAGAGGGAAAATTCAAATTGTAGTTTTAAAACTCATTACTAATAATTAATAATGAACTCCAGATAAACAATAACAGGTGTTCCACTAATCTCAAACAGAAACAGATGGAATCACAAATGTTTTATAAATAGTGGGTGCATGCAGAGCAATAAAGTTGGCAAAGATTGTCTTATTATCTAGTTCTCAGAATAAATGTTTCATCACTTGTATTTTTTCGAAAGGCAGACTATATCTACAGTTTTCTCTTTATTTTTAAAACTGTAGATCATAGTTGGTGCTTTGTTATTTCATTCATGTATCTTCATTTACCATGACAGTGTGGATTAACTTTCCTTTGGTATGATATGACACATAGTGTAGACTGTTCTGTCTGCTTTGTCACCTTCATTTCTTTCTTCCCTTCCAACATCTAATAAAAAATTCTGTTGTAAAAGTTATTTCACTTTTTAGAAGCTACTACTAATACTTTTAATGGCACAAGGAATACACAGCCTTTCTTGAATAATGACACTTCAAAGCTAATGGACATAAAGAAAACACTGTATTAGTCACTTATTTATTTGTATTCACCAGCAATATAAAGTCTTCTTATATAGAAGTAAGCAGTTGAATTTACAAGAGTAAAAGTATATGTATTATACTATGATTTTCTTTTGGGAAGTTTTCTTTGATTGGATAGTTGGTATGCATGTGGTCAATACTACAGTGAAGCCCTTTTGTATGATTAATTTATGCTAATAAAATTCAGAATTGTATCTGTGTATTTGTAGTCAAAGTCCTCTCTTTCTATGACATGTATCAAATGACCTTCCAGAATGTTGCCATCTAATTTTGGTATTTTTCTAAACACAAATATTAGCAGTAATTAGCTTCACCAAGCAAGATTTCATAATTCTCAGATCTGATTACATTCACTTCATAACACATTAAAGATGTAGGAGTAGGGGCTGGGAAGGTGGCTCAGTGGTAGAGCGCTTGCCTTGCTCGCATGAGGCCCTGGGTTCGATTCCTCAACACCACATAAGCAGAAAAAGCTGGAAATGGTGCTGTGGCTCAAGTGGTAGAGTGCTAGCCTGGAGCTGAAGAGCTGAGGGACAGTGCCAAGGCCCAGAGTTCAGGCCCCACGACCGACAAAAAAAAAAAAAAAAAAGATGTAGGAGTAAAGCAGGAGGAAGAGGAGGAGGAAGAGGAGGAAGAGTATGCTACCTGATGGAATAAATGACTGGGATGAACTGAATTTTTCAGTGAGCTAAGATTCTCATGATCTTCTAAATTTCTAGGCCTAGACAACTTTTTATTTCTTTCAGATATGATGTTTGTGAATATATGCATAAATTCTAATCTACATTTTTGAAAGGTTTCTAATCACAAAGTTCACGTTCAAGAAATAAAAATAGTTGAACAACAGTTTCAGTTGTTCTAATGCAAATTAGCACCTTCATTAACAATACCATCTTCTTAGGGACAGTTTTTCCAGACATGAATATACATTCTGTCAGGTTGTTAACTATGAAAAAGGCGTAGTACGAGAAGTGAAGTTATTCATTTTAATTAAGATGTTAGTAAGTTTATCTTGCTTCACTCTGGACAACAATTAAAATTTGTAAAGAAATTACAGATACAGTATCTTAGCTAAAATTCTTTCTTCATTATTGATAATAACTCAAAATTTCACTATCTGCATCAATAGTTCTCTGGAATGGCTGAAGATCCTATGTAGATGAAAAGAAATCTACAAACTTTAAAATGATAAAAATATTAAAAAAAAATAAACATTCAACAGATTTCAGTATGAATTTTTGTACTGGTAAAAAAAAAAAAAACGCAGGGGAGGATATTTTCCTTGTCATAAGTCTTTTCTTCTAAGTTTACCAGGAATAAAATAATTCATGGCTTCATTCCAAGATGTTATTAAAGATATTAGCATTTTTATATATGAAGAGATTAGCATATTTTTAGCTTTCAGCTGACTTCATTTGCAATAGGCCATGCAGTGACTGAAAGCAAAATTGAAAGTCCTAATGCCAGTTATTATTTCTGCTTTTGGTTGACTTTATATCTATTCATGCATTATGCAGATTTTTTAATGAAATATACAGTTTAGTACATAAAAAAGCCAGCAGTCACTGAAGCAAAGACTATTAAAACAGACAATCACAAGACTTATTTGGAATACCTGGTTTTAAATCCCCATGGACAAACATGTCAATCATATATCGACAGAATGCATACTGATCTGACAGAATAGAAAAAAATGAAAAAAATGTCATCAACATTTTTCTTTAGAAGAAGAAATGATTTAACAGAAAAGAATGATATAATTCTATTTGACTTAATTTATACTTTCTGTGAAGAAATAATTTGTACTCTTAGGAAAATAAAGGGGATAAAAACATAGTAAACACACCTTTTCATGTATTGCCAAACAAAAATAACCACCAATATTGCAACGTAGTAGTTCAGAGTAATATAGTAGTTTTTTTTAAATCCAAATCTTTTTTTTATCACATTAAAGTAATTATTCTTATTTGTCCTTTTGTAAAGTTATAATGAAGCACAAGTTTTACAAAAGAAAATTGTTTTCTGGCTACAAATGTTTTGCCCAGTATTCACTCCTATACCCTCTGCTGGTTGTCTAAATGAAGTATGGATTATTCCCTCTAACCTGCCTGCAGGAGTGTGAACGCCTTTGCAACTTCTCAGAGTCCTTCTGTGTGGAAATGCTCTTTAAATCGAGAAGAAATCAGGGAGAATATAGTAATAGCATCAAATGATGGCACTGGCTAATTAGTTGCGTAATCTTCACAAAGTAATTTTAAGAGCTTGAGCAGTATGTAGCCTTCCTGATTTCAGAAGTTGCTATGACTTTACTCCCTCCTCTAAAGATGTTACACTGATCTTTATATTCCCACAAAATTCTACATATTCCTGGTCAGGGAAAAGCCAATTCTCAATGGAAGATGCTTCTAGGGTTCTCTGTAGTATCTCTGCATCATGCACATTAAATAAATCTTACATTTGATTGTTTACATTTAATATGCCTAGATTAGGAATTTTATTAATCCACCAAATCAAAGGGAGAATTAGGATTTTAAAAGTTTATTGATTTTATTCAGTATGACACATTCTGATGGCTTCAAATCATGTGTAACAAACAAACAAAAATAAACAACAAAGTTGTTAAGGCCAAGGATCCCCAAATGTGTTTTTTTTTCCCAAATGTGTTTTAAAAGACTATATCTGCCAAATGTGAAAATGATTCTTCTTTTTTTTTCCTTTCCAAATGGTTTCTAATTGGTCTACAGCTTCCCAGGACAGTAAAGGAAGGTTTTGTGGGGGGGGGGGGGGGTTGTTTTTTGTTTTTTTTTATGTATGACTAATGTAAAAGTTAAGGTCTATCTTTTATTATGAAAGACAAATAGTAATTGAAACGTTATTTTCAAAGTTATAATGCATGGTTAAAATGTTGTGCAAAAGTCATATTTCAGTTTCCTCTTAATGTTGACAGTGTAATGAAACTTTATAACTTGATCTGAATTATTTCTGTATTATACCAATCATTTTTGGCTTCAAAGCTCATTCATTTAAATTACTAACAGTCCAAAGAGCTTCTAATTTGAAGAAAGCAATCAATGGTGAACTCAAATAGCTTTTCTTTTCCAACCTGAAAATCATTCAGGTAAATATTTAAAAGATTTTAGCTATATATGAGTAATATTGTGTTGCTGCTTTTCAGTGGCATCAAGATATCAATAGAAACATGACAGGAATATATTTTAAATGTTTTAAATTAAGAAGGCTGAGAAGTTTAAGTTAAAACGTCCATTTTTTATCTTTCATTATCCCTGACCTCAACAACGTGTAGCATTTCTAGGAAGGACAGATTTTTGGCAGTCCCCAGTGTTTGTGCTTCACTTGCTTAAGGACAGAGCAAAATGGAGCCTTTCTGCTTTTGGAAGAAGCATATCAAAAAGCTCCTCAAAAAAAAAAAAGAAGAAGAGAAATCCAGGTTCTGAGAATGTGGCTTAGTGATAGAGTGCTTGACTAGCATGCATGAAGCTCTGGGTTTGATTCCTCAGTACCATAAACAGAACAATCCACAAGTGGCACTGTGGCTCAAGTGGTAGAGTGCTAGCCTTGAGCAAAAGAAGATCAGGGACAGTGCCCAGGCCCTGAGTGCAAGCCCAGGACTGGCAAAAGAAAAGATCCTATTCAAATCCTATAGCAGGAAACTTTTCATAAAGAAAAATAAATTATCCTGCCATTCTAACTTTTATACTTAAACTGTATATATATATATATATATATATATATATATATATACATATATGCTTTCATATATATATATATATGTATATTGAAATTTCATAATTGGTCACCACTTTGAAGCATTTTCCCTCAAATAAACATCATTCTAAGATGAGCTGGTGAGGTCTCCCTCCCATCTTAATCTGCTAAAAGTTATGATGGATGTCATCAGCTATTGCTTCCCCTGAGGAATAGAAGCTCAGGGGAAAAAAATGCATTCTGAGTACAGAATGTCAATAGGAAGGTGTTTTTAAAAATAATCTCTAATGAGGATGGGTTACATGGCGTATGGTGCTCTAAAGCACTCTCATTAGCTACACTTACTCTGCCTGCCACAAATGTTTAAATAATTGTTCCAAAAAGAAAACAAAGGCAGGAATAAGCCACAGGTGTGGCCATGGGGAGATTGTTTTTTTTCCCACAGACTTGTCAGAGACCGTGAGAAACTTGGGAACAGTAACTGATCCTGTCAATTCTTCACTTTCACCTTGAATAGGTTTACATTGGCCCACGAAACTCGATTTTTGTTTTTGATATTCATCTTATTTTCAATGCTTTAAGTAAAAATGCATTGTTTATCTATGCAAATGTGTAATTAATGGTAACTATATTGAACATATTTATGCATATAATGAATAATTAAATAATTTTCAATAAGTTTCTCCCATGTGAAACTGTTTCCCAGTATATAATGATAATTCGACCCTATTGGTTTCAAGGGAACTATTTTTAAATATGCATGAAAGTGATAAGCTAAATTATGGATATTTTATTATATTTGAACCACTGAAAATTGTTAAAAAGTTAATTTTTAGCTCTTCTTTCTATATATTTATATTATATATAAATAAATAAAATTTTATGTTATTCATGTATTATATTTTATATATATATTATGAATTTGTGGAAAATACAAAAATCAAAGTTAAAGAATAGACTGGAAATTTCATATGTGTGTAGCTTATAATGAAAGTTATTTTCAGTTTCACTGTGCAAACAGCTCATACAATAAAAAACATGAAGAGTTATTTTTAAAATAAAATCTTATCATGGATCCTAAATTCTGTGATTTTCATCCTCAAATAAAGTTATTCCATTTTTACCAAAGTAAAATAAACTCTTACTTTTCAGCACTTATAAGGCAAATAAAAATCTTGAAAATAGTCCCTACAGACTAAACCTCACACTCTAAGTCAGGAGGACAGGATCCATAGTAGCCTTGTGTTAGAAGTGACTGTAGAAGAAAGATTCAACAAGGGATTGTGAAGTGGAAGAAAAATCCCTTAGGAACCATTTTCAAACTCTCCTATTTTAAATTGATACAGCAACCTTCAAAAAGAATGTCAAAATTCTATCACACCTCCATTGCATGCTACATTTCTGCGAGTGGAGATGTAGGTTTGACATCAAACTTGTTGAAGAGAGGTACCTGTCAGACGCAGAACTTTCTGAAGTCATACATGTAATAAAGGAAAATGAAAAAGAACTGTAAGAGTTCCTTTTCTTTTTTTAATAACTTTTTGCCTATTAAATTGATCCAGTAAATTGGTTCTGAATATACACAGAGTTGTATGTTATTGCAGAGATACAAAGGGTGAATTGTTTTATTATTTATTCTACATGATTTGAATGTAGACATCTCAACTAGGTCTGAGAATTACTGTCACTCCTCCCTCCCCCCTCTCCCTTCCCTCTGCTTTCTCCAGACACATGTGATGATTCCATTGTTATCCTGTATTTTAATAGAGATCCTTTGTCTCAGTAAGTCAACTTTTATCCACAAGATTTAAGTAATTCCAAATGTTAACTCAAAATCTCTTTTAAAATACTTGAAAATCCATCTTTAGGTAAGTAATCATTCTGTATATCTACAAATGCATGCTATTTGTCAATTTATTTGACTTCCTTTCAGGTGTATTTACTTGTGCAAGTCTTTTACCATCACTTGTAGTCTGATTTCAGCCTTGTCCAGCTTTTTACTTTGAGTGCATCTGTGTCTTGCCCAACATACTCTTAGATCATCTGGATGCCTCTGCTGTGTTTACCTTTCTGATCATGCTTTGACACAGCTGCAGCCTCTTTATCTTCTTTCTCTTTAGCTTTTGGTGGAGTTTTTGGTACTTCCTTGACTTTTGCAGCTGCTTGCTTCCCTTTCTCCTGTTTGCCACCTTTCACTTCTTTCTTAGTCTTTTCTTCAGTCTTTTCTTTAGCCTTAGCTTTCTTCTCTTCTATATAGGATTTAAAAAAATGGTAGATAATTTTCTTTATGTCCCAACATCATACAATTATTTTTTCTGAAATTTGTCCTGAACCACAATTTGAAAAGGAAAAGAAAAAAAATCAGTAGAAAAATAGTGCCATCAACATAAATATTTCTGATTGGTGTCATAGTTTTATGCAATATATTACATGCTATTTAGACTTACAGCTCACATACAAAATGATGATCTTTAAAAAAAAATACTGTTGGGATTGTTTTAGATGATTCTAAACTTAGCCTGCCAAAAGAATTTGTTCTAGGCAGAGATTGTACATATAGGCACCTTCAATCAAAGTCAATGCTCATACCAATAAACTGAAACTCCAACACAGGTTTTTAAAAAGATAATTATTCAGCATTCAAAAAGAAAATGACAAGTACTGGTATTGACTAACAATTATAAAACAATAAAATATATTAGTGAACAACCAAAAGTCACATCATCTTTAATTATTTGGGTTTTCTTTTCTTTTCTTTAATTTTTTTTATTTTATTGTAAAGATGATATACAGAGGGGTTACAGTTACATAAGTAAGATAATGCGTACATTTCTTTCCAGCAGTGTTACCCACTTTGTTTTTCTCCTGCTTTCCTTCCCCCATCACACACATACCCAAGCTGTAAAGTTCATTTCCAACATAGTGTTTAGGGAGTATCGCTGATGCATTGGCTCCTCCATTTTCCCATTGTTTCTGTGATTTCCCTTCCCCTTCCCCAATGATTTGGGTTTTAATAAGCTAAAGAGTACAAAACTTTTTTTTTGTTTATTGAAAGTCAGAAATAATGTTTTTGCTGGCTCAATTTATTCAGCATATATTAATTATATAAAATAAGGAGTTTTATTTTGACATTTCCATGCATTCATATAATATACTTAATTCAGATATGTTTAAAAAGTCTTAAACGTAACTTAGGAAATGGAAATAGTTACTTACTGAAAAATGTGAATGAATTATAGCATATAAATGCTATGTGTGCATATTATTAATTTGATACTAGATGTACATCAACACAAACAATTGGCCTTTGTCTTGTGGCTTAAGTTTTGGATGACGCCATTATTTTTTTAAAAAGCCAATTATGTATAGTTTAATTCTGCAATGCTGCATTTGGGACCATCTGTGATGTATAGTACCAGACTGTACATATCCATCAGATACTGTACTACTGAATTTCTTCCACAATGTTGAATCCCACATATCATTTATTAATGCAGTGTGTAGCATTTATTATTACTCCAAGGATTTGATGAAAATAAAATGATCTAGTTTTCAGAATTTGATACAGACTAAGCCAAGATTGTATTGGGGATGTCACAGAGAGAATGGTAGTTATTATGTTTGAAGCCAGTTTGGCTGCAGGATCTATGATACAATACTGGATGTAACTGAGTGAACTAACACTTCCTCAGACACTTTACCTTGGAATTTGCCTAGGAGTTAATACTGCATGTGAGTGTCAAAAGTTATCCTCATCATGAAACAAATTGGGAAACTAACTTAAACAACAGATTTACTCCTGAATTATCCCTCAAAAATAGAGTATTTTAAGACTCTTCAAGGAGTATTTGGATATACACATTGTCCAGAGTTATTAGACCATAAAATTCTCATGCTAACTCCTTCATAATCTTCCAGTGTCTTTGTGGATTCTGTGACTACTTTTATTGTGTTTTTTTAATCTCCTTTCTAGAAGCCATTTCAAAATCTTTGCATCTTAATTCCATTTCTAAAGCAAACACACACACACACACACACACACACACACACACACACACACATATCTGACAGTACAAAAATACAGCTTTCTACAGAAGATTTCAAAAACTCACACTAAAATGTTTATTAGTGTCTGCCTGGAAACAAAGTTCCATTGAGCTAGCCAGCAGCACTCCAAACACACGAAACTCATATGCACACATACACATGGCAACCTATCTTGATGGGAAATGGACCTGTAAAGAACAGTACAATATACTTCTCTAAATAAATTGCATTAAAACCTGAGATATCTCACTTCATACTGTCTGTCTACTCACACATTTTTTCCAGAGTTTTTTTCTCTACTATATTCCTTCTTTTCTGACTACTTTCTGTATTTTTCCTGTGCCAGACATGCCTAGACTTTTCTCCACATTTTCCATGTTTTCTATATCTCTAAACTCCATCATATTTGACTCACATGAAAAAATAATGGTCTTGTCATGGGAATTAATCAATCTGTCCCCTGAGCTTCAATTTGCCAGAAATTTTATTAAAGCATGTACTTTATTCCCTATAGCAGGTCTTCAATTACAGGTGATTGCTCATCAATCTGTCTTCCCTACCAAACTATAGACAACGTGAAGAAAGGGATTTTGTTATTTATTTTTGTATCACATTTTTATATTAGTACAGTGCTTTTTTCAGGGAAAAACAGAACAAACATTCTGGATTAAAAAGTTTGTTCAAAGAGAAGAAATGTTTTACTACTCTCATATCTATGTGAAATAGAGTAAGTAGTATGTATATGCCATAGGTAAGTAAAAATGTTTAAAATAAACTTGTAATAGTGTGGAATCTTTGCACGTGTGTGTGTGTGTGTGTGTGTGTGTGTGTGTGTGTGTGTGTGTGTGTGTGTGTGTGTTAATGATTTTCATGTGAAATGGCTTCTTTTTTAAATCTACTTGTAGGCTTCAATTGATTAAATCTTTGTTGATCCTAAAGGAATTAAAGATTCCTTAAATTCAACTGCCTTTAATGACTTAAACTATCAATCAGGAAAGATATTTTTCTTAGAGAATAGGATCACACATACAACAAATTTACTTTAGTGGTTGTTTTTAATGCATAAAAATAATTTTAAAAAACTCGTTTTCTTAGGAATTTATCAAATCTTCCCTACAAATATCTGCATCGCATTAAAAACCAGAGAGAACTCAACAGTGAAGTGAATGCAATGAAGATAAAAGGAAAGTAGCACAGGTGCAAGTTCTAGTTACTTTCAAACTTGGTGATTTTCTTAAAATCGGTGCCAAATTTTCTTTTTAATCAAAATATTCTAATATAATTAGAACTTATAATTTTGTTGAGAAGCTAAAAAAGAACAAAAACTACTTACATGATGAATTCAAATTCCCTAGTTTTATTAGGAAGAATTTTAATTTATTATAGCTTTCATCAAGAAAAAAATGATTTGATCAAATGATTGACATCAACATAGTGGGTCCGGATCTAGAAGAAAGATGAACAGTGTTGTTATAGCCAGGCAATAGTGGCTCATATCTGCAATCCTAGATACTCAGGAGACTGAGATCTGAGGATGGCAGTTCAATGCCAGCCTAGACAGGAAAGTCCATGAGACTCTGATCTCCAATAAACCACTCAGCAAAAGTGGGACAGTAGTTTTGTGGCTCAAGTGGTAGAAAGCCTAGGCCCTGAGTTCAAGGCCCAGAATCACCACAAAAAACTCGCGTTAGAATTAAAATGTTTGGTGTCATGGCCGTTAAATGGTGTTATACAAAAAGCATACTAAAATATTGCTGATTTTACATGAGTTAGGACAGAATAAATTTGATTCCTTATTAAGTAAGGAAGTAGAAACTGCTGTACTTCTTTGGTCTTAAGTTTCTCTGCAATAACAATGTCATGATTGTAGCTGCCCTGTATGATAACTACATAAATCACTAATAGGAAATATGCACCTAGATAACTGGAGTTCTTTGAAGGATTTTTTTTGTTTTGCTTTGTTTTGTTTTGGTTTGGTTTTGGATTTTTTTTTAGGATTTACTTGGAAGTTAATAGTAAAATCCATGACATGTATTTACTTTAAATATGAAGAAATTAAGAGTGAAAATGATACAATTAATGAGTAAATGCAAATACAATAAAACCAGAATATTGAATCCATTTTCCAACCATGCTAAATTGTATACAATTCTTAAGACTAATGGATGCAAATGATACCCAGAAATGAGTCTTAAGGCATACGAGCACAGATATACATGGACCAACTGAAAGCAATACAAACTCTTCTCTCTACTTTATCAGACATGGGTACTGAAGTTGATTATTTCCAGGACAGTTTTGCACAGTGACCCACACTTGATTAACTCTACTCTTGATTAACTTTTTAACTTTTCTCATTCCATCATTTTCATCTCATTCTTTTCTTAAAAAATTTTAGCAAACTACAGAAATAGGCTAATTTTTACAAAGGTAGAGGTCTGACACTGCTTCTCAGAAGGAATTTCTGAGGGAGTGTGAGCAATTGCTGTCCTTTGTGCATTGTGGTTTGAACAGGAATAAGAAAAAACTAACTTAAATGTCAAATATTATGGTTTGTGCTTTAATAATTTTACTCTATTTTCCTAAAATCCACACATTATACCAGGATCACTTCCTACTTCCATTTACTATATAATAGTATATATAATAAAAGTGAAAATTATGTGCATGAGATATGTGAGGGAACATGGTAGATGTAGGGTATCTGCCTCAGAAAAATGGAGGTAAGTTGAAAGCGTTTGTAGCAGGAAGACTTAAGATAGCTCCTAATCCTTATTTTATGGTATTTGTACTCTTCTGATATCCTTTTCCCATGAATGTGCTACCCAGTAGTATATGACTTCAGATAAGACATATGATGAATCAGCCTAGTCTTGTGGTTTCTATCATGATGATTCTCTCTCTTGACAATCTCATTGAAATTATCTATCAGGTGACAAAGATCTGAAGATAACTTCTAGCCATATGGCAGGGAACTCGGGCCTTCAGTTGTCAAGAACCGAGTCTTGCCAACTGCCATATTGATGAACTTGAAAATGATCTTTCCTACAGCCCTGATTACTACCTTCATTGCAGAATTGTGAGTGATTGAGTTCTGGCCAGATTCTTTACTCACTGACATTACTTATAAATACCTGTGAATTTAAGTCTAGAAGTTTTTTCATTGTTGTTCTCTATAAGAGCAACAGTATATAACAGTAAATAATAAGCAAATAACACACTTGTTGAAGGAAGACCCCTGTTGTGGGGCCTGAACTATGGGCCTGGGCGCTGTCCCTCAGCTCTTCAGATCAAGGCTAGCGCTCTACCACTTGAGTTACAGCGCCACTTCCAGCTTTTTTCTTTTTGCTTATGTGGTGCTGAGGAATCAAACCCAGGGCGCCTCAGGCATGTAAGGCAAGTGCTCTACCACTGAGCCACCTTCCCAGCTCCTGAAGGAAGAATTTTAAAATACTTTTTACTTATTTTTGGAAGGATTACTTGATTTCTAATTAGATTACCTAGGTTTTTATCCTAGTCCAATTACAAATTAGTTATGTGCCCTGGCAACTGTTACCCTCTCAGTCATTTCCTCTCCCTTTTTCCTCCCCATTCTCCTCCCTAACAAGTTGTAAAGTTCATTTCCAACAGAGTGTCTAATGAGTATCATTGTTGCATTAGTTCATCCTTTATCCTGCAAAACAAGCCATTTCCTTCCTCCCAGTTTGCATGATTTCTGTAGTTTCAGCTCAGTATCACTTAACTGAGTTCACTGCTTTGGGTTCACAAGAGTACAATCAAACTGTCAATAGCACTCTGTTTCTTAAGTGGAGTCTAGGGGTTTGAATGTAAAAAACCTGTCATCTGTGCTTACTCAGCATAGAATAAGCTTGATTTTGATGTGGCCCTTCCAATTCTCAGAGAGTCAGAGAGGGCAAGACCTTGCCCTTCAGATCTCTCCATTCTGCTGAATCTCTTTGCTTTTAAATACGTTGTGATAGTACTCTGAGCCCACCTGAGCTCAGCTGTCCTCAGCCAAGAAATTTTCCCTATTGTTAGAATGAACTTGAATACTTCCTCAAAACTTTGGTCATGTAATGCAGCAAAGCAGGGAAACCAACAATCTTCCAATTACATAGGACGTTAATAATTTTCCTCTTTCAAGAAGCCTTACTATTTTAAGTGTTTGGCTTATTATTCTAAGCTATTAAATTTTATTTTTTTTCTATAAAAGAAATACTGATATTCAACTATCTGCTCAGCAGAAGATAGTCTTTCAACATTAAAATGAATTTAATTCTGGTAATAATAAAGAGAAAGTTTACCTTGTGTTGTCTTCATTTCTGGTTTTTCTTTTTTCTCAATTTTCTCTTTGTGGGTTGCTTAAACAGAAAATTTATATTAGTGGGTACTTTCAAAGGTTGCAAAACCAAGTTTTCATTTTGTTTCAGTTTACAGTCACAAATATCATGGAATATTTAGGAGGTTGTTTTTTTTTACCCTGAAAAATTGACTGTGTAAACTTCAATGTAAAGCTTGGCATTGAGATGTAGAAAGCATTTTGAAAAATAAGCTTACCACCTTCTTTTTCTAACTCATTATTCCAAACAACAAAAGTAAATAAAGTAGAAGTTTTACAAGAATTAATTGAAAAAATACCTTTATATCAGGTATAAAAAAATCTGTCTTTAAGATTAATAAAAAGGAATGCAGAAATCAGGAACGAAGGATTGATTAGTATACAAGGGAAACAGGTGAAAAATAGTTGCTTACTCTATGGCACTATCTTCTGCATTGAAAATAGTGTTTCGTTTCTCTCCCATCTCTCCCACAAAAGGCTCTATCTTAACATCATTTTGACAATTGAAGTAATGTATTGCACCCTGTTGCTTATAATCAACACTTTAACTGGAGAATCTACAATAGATATAAAGTAATTCAAACTGGATGAAATTAGAAAAGGAGAAAGAGAACAATGGAAGGGATGACATTGGTCAAGATACATCATACTGAAAATCTGACTTGTTTTGGGTCCAGTCGTGGGGCCTGAACTCTGGACCTGGGCGCTGTCCCTCAGCTCAAGGCTAGCGCTCTACCACTTGAGCCACACAGCCACTTCCGGCTTTTCTTTTCTTTTTGCTTATGTAGTGCTGAGGAATTGAACCCAGGGCCTCAGGCATCCAAGGCAAGCGCTCTACCACTGAGCCACCTTCCCAGACCCCTGACTTGTTGAGTTGAAACCTTTTTAAACAACTACTTAACATAAAATTTAAAAAGCCATGATTTATCAGTTGAGTAATCTTATTGATTCTCATGTGGAGTAACAATTTTTCATGTGATACCTGGGATGTTATGCATTGTCATTATTAGTAAACTAATGACTCAATTTGTAGTGTATTTATACACTCGGTTTTTTTTTTTTGGTCTCTGAATTTTAAATAAAGGTGACCTGAGGGTATGATAGCAGGTACTATTTCAAGCATATTAAATGGTAGCTAGCTAGTTTCCCTAATCACTATATATTTCTAATCACTATATATTTCACATCTCATTTATTGGATAATTACAATGGAAATTAAATAATATATTGACAATTAGGTGATAAAAAGATAGAATTTTGTTAACTAATTTGTTTAAGGAAGGAGTAAATTAGTGCCCTCAAACAACTGGATTTATTCGCCTATCTAAGAATAAGGATGAACATCAGTTTTATTCATTAAAGGATTGAAATAGTAAGGAATGGGCTTGATAGGGGGTATGAGGATTGGTCACTGATGCTCCACACTTGTGAATAGATGAATATATTCATACGGGAGTGAGTTTGCGCTTGCAGAGTAGGTTCACTCTCCTGAAAGTGGGACTGTAATAAAGGCAAGTTTGCCTCTTTTGACCCTCTTTGCCTCCTTCCATGTTACAAAGAAGTAGAAAGTATCTCAACAGAAGCCAAACAGATGCAATCCCGGTGCTCAGACTCCCTAGAATGTACAACTACCCAGTCTGTAGTATTTTATTATAGCTTTTGCAAATGGACACAGATGATATCTATGAATAATTTGCCTGGAATCTTGAAGAGACAATTTTAACCTCACAGAAAGCTTAATGCTTCCTGTCCAGATAAAGGCCAAGTGGCCAGCAGAGAGGCAGAATGCTGACATAGCAGCAGCTTCCTCCTCCAAAGATCAGCCTCCCCCACGCCTACCTCCGCTACCATTTGCCGCTAAGAGCAGCCATTTGTACAGTTTTCACAGAAGGAAAACTATGCTAGGATAGGCAGGACACAACTCACACAAAGTCATGGGGCTACCTACGTTCCAAAATATGAGTTAATGTTTTATTTTTTCAGTCGTGGGGCTTGAACTCTGGGTCTGGGCTCTATCCCTGGGCTCTTCCACTCAAGGCCAGCATTCAACCCCTGGAGCCACAGCGCCACCCTCGGTTTTCTGGTGGCTAATTGGAAGTAAGAGTTTCACAGATTTTCCTTCCTGGGCTGGGTTTGAATGGCGATCCTCAGATCTCAGCCTCCTGAGTAGCTAGGATTACAGCTAGGATTACAGCCACCATCCCCGGACAGTGAATCACTTCTTTTTAAACAATACATCGTATTGCTTCAGTGAAAGTTTCGAACTTCATAGGAGAATTGCAAATTATTTCGTTTAGTCAGAACCCAGAGGATCTGATGCTCTCATTCTGCATAAACCATTAGCAAAAGTGGACACCTGAAATAGCAAGTTAAAATTCATGAAAATGGCCACTAGTTAGCAATAATAAAGGAGCAACTATTTAATTCAAATGCTCATTGGTGAATAATCAATATTGGAGCATGGTTCAGCAGTACAATTGGTAATATTTTCAACATTGCATAAAACAAGAAATCTCAGCAGGTCATTCATACTGTGGTTGCAGAAGTCAGGTAAATATCTTAGACATGATCCATTCTAAAACAATACCAAACAACGAAATTAACTCTTACTTCACATTATACATTAAATAGAATTTTGTTTGGATTTAAGTAATTAAAATGCACACTACCTATAAAATGTGTTGCAATGGTTTTTAGCTTGAAGAAAATGTTAGCATCTATTGAAATAATCTTTGATAAAGATTCAAAAACATAAAATTCTACAAAAATACAAATATACATAGGCAGATTGGGAGTGGTGTCTTATACCTACAATCTCAACTACTATAGAGTGGTGGAGACCAGAATGATCACAATTTGAGACAAGAACAGACAAAAGTGAGAATCCAGCTTAACCAGTATGCTGCAGGTGAAGATGTGAATCTGTAATGCTAGTTACAGAGGAGCATCAGATAGGAGAACAAGTTGTGAGGCTAGCCCAGGCAAAAACATCAGCTCTTATTTGAAAGATAACTAAAGAGGGAAAAAAAAGGCTGTTTCAACAACTTGGCTATTGTGGATAGTGCAGCAGTGAACAAGGATGTGCAAGTGTTTTATAGCTATTCATAATAGCCAAGTTGTGGAAACAACCTAGATGTCTTACAATAGATGGGTGGTTCCAAAATTATGGTACCTATTCCCAATGGTATTTTACCCAGTCATTAGAAAGAATTATGTCATTTGCAAGGAAACGGATAGACCTAGAACAAATCATGGCAAGTGAGGCAAGCCAAGCTCAGAGAGAGGAATGATGTATGGTTTTTTTTTTCCCTCATAAGTGATCTAAAATATACAGGGGCATGATAAATTATATGTGCCTATGTGTATCTAGTTATACAAAATAGTATTTATCGAAATGAACTCTAGGAAATAGAAACAAGGGTTTTTTCTCTTTTTGCTGTTTTTGTTTTCATTTCTTTTTGCTCTTTTGGTTTATTGTATGTCTCTGAGCATGCCTCAGGGGAGGCAGAGAAATGGCGACCCAAAGGGTAAATAAATGCAGCAATGGTAGTCACTGAACATTATGTTGAAAATGAGCTATTTTACTTGTGGGGGGGAATGGGAGGGGAAAACTAGGAGAGAACAAGGGAAAGGGTAACATTGTCCAAAATAAAATATACTCTTTACCTGACTTATGCAACTGTAACACCTGTGTACATTGCCTTTATAATAAATTAAAAACATATTTTAAAAAGGGCTGGTAGTATGGCTTAAATGGTAGAATGTCTGTCTAGCAAATGGAAGGCCTTGAGTCTAAACCCCAGTAACCTCACATTTACACACATACAAAAACAAAGAGTCTAAACTTATATATGCATGTACACATATATGTACTCACATTTGTCCAATCACATAGATTTTATGTGAAAACAGAAAAAATAATTAGGAATGATGATTGACTAAGAAATTTGTATCTCTAAATGACATCATTAAAATAAATGAGTATCAAATGTGAGCAGCTACATAAGAACAAAGCATACTAAAAGTCATATCTACATTTTTCTATCTACATATATCAAGCATATTGAAGATTTGATGGAAGAAAATACTCTGATACAAGCACTATGCAAATGATCATAGTGAAGAAAATATCCATAGTATATCTTTTTAATTTATAAAAGCCAGAATGTAAGAAATGCTAGAATTTGTATGCATATGCACATAAAGAGGCAATAACACTTATTATAATAACATATTAGTGAAATATAGTATATATTCTAAGTTGTATTAATATCAGTCACATATTACAAATGAAGATCCTGGAAGGGCATGTATGAAATTCACACAGCAGTTTATTGTAAACCTGTTGTTTGGCCAGACTAGAAAGTAGGAAGGGACAGATGTGGGCCTGGGAAAGAGTGAAGAGGAGGGTTTTCACAAGGTATCTTCACTGATTGGATAATATGGTTCTATGACCATTCTATTATAAAGCAAAAGCTAAAAGAAATCAAGTCTAATAAGCAAACATATGTAAATTAAAATAATGGTGAGTGATTTTGTATTTATGAAATGCCAAGTAGTTTTTAATAAAATTGTTATTATGAGATGACAGTCTCAGAACTTGGGGTGGGGAGTAGGGTAACTAACACATTTCTGTTCAGCAGAGTGCAAACAACTCAAGAGCCTTAACATTTTCATTCAATCAAAGTTCCTCCTTTCAGATTCTATTGCAAGTATTTCTGATATAGTTTTGAAAGAAATGATATGAAATTTTGAATAAATCTGAATATAAGGAAGGGAAAGTCAAAAGGAAAAATGATATAATATTAAAAACTGCACAAAGAATAACAGCATACCTTTCTTCATAGGTTTTTCTTTTGTCTTTTCTTTTTCTTTTTCTTTGTGTGCAACTAGAAAGAAACAGATCACACGTTTCATTTTAATAAATGACAAGATAATCACATAGTGGTTTTGATGTTAAAAAAAAAAAAAAAAAAACACCTATCCTCTACTTTCAGAAATCTCCCTTTAACTGGCATAAGGTTTACCTACGTAGAAGTTTAAGCTTCAGTATAATTACAGATTTCATTTTTTAATCTATTTTTGCTTCACATTCAAGCATGAGCAAATATCAAAATTAGGTCTGACTGCAAAGATAAGAATATTCCTCAGTCTTTTGAAATCTATAATTTAATGAATTAGAAGACTTCTTTAAAATATTATGCCATGTGCCAAGGAGCCCAGCTTTAATATTGGAAAAGTGCCAGAAGTCTGAATTGAAAAACACAGAAATATAATCAACTGAACCTTAAGCAAAGAAACATCAATCTAAATTGTACATATTGCTTTTCTAGAGCAATATTCCACAATTATTTTTAAATGCTAGAATGGGATTAAAATGCTGTTACATCTTGTTTTAAAAAAATAAAATTGGACTGAATGAGCTATAACTCAATTAATTATTGCAACAGGATCAACATTTATGTCATAAGCTTAACACATACTTAAATCATAATTTTTATTAATTTTTCAAACTATAAATATATGGCTCATTCCAGACTAGTGTCTCTCTTCTACTTCCTACGTCAGTTCATTATCCAAGCTCTGCCAGTCTTACTTTTTATAGTATTCCTCTTACACCACTTATTTTCCCAAAAATATAGAAAGAGCCCCAGAAACATGCTAGTGACTCAGCTAGGCAAGACAAATACCACTTTTGTCATGGAATGTCACATTAAAGGATGATGGATGCCAAACAAGTAATTACTAAGGTAGCTAATTGCTGTTAGTATAATCACTATGAAGTAAATAGGCAGGATGGCAGGTCAGTGTGTAAAACTGAGACCTAATCTCACACATGTTTGGAAAAGACACTGAAGGATGTAAGAAGTGGAAGGAAATTAATCTACATGGACAATACAAAGGACAAAGTGGAAAGAGACAATTTCAGAACAATGGGCAAGAAAACCATCTTGGGCATGCTATTATTTCCCCTTTAATGGAAACAGATTTCTATTTTTCCATCTCATAATAACCTTTCTAACACAAGTCTGATTATATCATTTATCTTTTTCAAATATTAGTATCTCACATATTGCTTGGCTTGGTATCTGCCACAGAGCATGTGCTATATCAAACACACAAATATTTTATTGGCCCAATGATCCGATATTTGCTTACAATCCATTGTCATCAACCAGGAATTTCTCCTTGAATTTCACATTCCAGTTTTGACACAATGTCATATGACACAAGATATCAAGGACATCTTGTGCCCTTGTGAGACCTATCTATCCCTGTTTGTTTGTGTCTTCAACCTTAAACTCCCAGTCCATATTTTAACAAGTTCACTCTCCTGTTCCATGTTCCCTTTCTGTTGGGATCAAATAACCCCTCAATACTTTCTATATTTGTCCCATACTCTAATTGTATCATTTTCTTAATTCCATTTAGCAATGATGAAATAATATCCCAATTGCTCATATATGCAACCACCCAGTGAAATCTTTAGAGACAATGCCCCATTATTTTTCTTGCATCTCTGTTTTTTTCTTTTTCTTTTTTGGTACTGGCTATTGAACCCAGGATGTTGCATTTACTAGGCAAGTGCTTTCCCACTGAGCTACATCCCAGTTAGCATCCCTGGCTTTTGAATATGCAAAATTCTAAAATCTCTAGTAAAATCTGTATTAAGAACCATGCTGTGATATAGACATACATCACATAGTACACTTTTTGCTTCTGATCATTTGAAATATTAAGATTTCTTGAGTAAATCCTAAAGAAAAGCAGGCTAAAGGGAAAAATTTCACCTTCGAATATCTAGATATTAGGGTTTTTTAATTTTTTTTACCATTTGAAATGGCACCTTTCATTTTAGGTATTTCTGAGCTACTAAGTTCAATAAAAATATCTCGCAAAAAGAAATCAGCATTCATGCAGATCTCAAATAGCTTATTTGGGCTTCTTTAAATCACTATTAATGAAACTAAAAGAAATTCTTGGCATAAATAAAGCCTCCTTTAAAGTTTCCCTAGGGGGAACCTAGTTTGTGTGAGATAAGCTGTGCTTTCAGAACTCTGATTGGAAAAAGCCCCAAGGGATCACCTAATCTGTGGCTCTGCTCTGGAAGGGCTGGGCTCACGCACCTCAGACAGCTGGTTGTCCATTCCATGGAAGGATTTTTAAGATTGACATGTGCACATGCATAAGTGGGAGAATTAATACCAAATCAAAAGAGCAAGGGGAGTGAATCCAGCCTTTATTAGCATATTAACTCCTCATTCCTGTGACCGAGGGTGGGGGGAACCCTTATTCCTCTAGTCAAAATTTTTGATTTACAGACGCAGAAGTGTACGCTGGAATTTCATTTTCACCCTTCAGAACAACACCATTCTACAGCTTAGTGAAGCAGCTGGAGCCCTGGCTCTAGGGAACTGTTCAAAATGGCAGACGGCCACTAAATCTGCTTGGACAGAAACTTCAAACTTTGGCAAGACTCTGCTCAAATACCAAGTTCCTAAAATGACTTTTTTTTTTTAACCACAACACTACAACAGTCAGTACTGCTTTAACAATCACTCTAAAGCTTATATAAAATTATTTGAAACAGGAGCTGGGGTTGTTGATGCCTTTCTTCCCTTAAAACCAATAATAAGAATTTCCACAAGGAAGAGGAAAAGAATTCCAAAATGTCACCAGCCTTAGCTGGTAAGTGAAGTCTTAGACAAGATTGTTTTAGCTCAGAGAAAAATAAATGTTTTGCACCTGCCACAGATTAAGTTTGTCATCCTAGGTACAAAAAACAAAAACAAAAACAAAAAGCAAGCAAGCAAAAAAAGCCAACTGAAGTCCTTTGGTATGCTTGTAATTAAAAACAAGCAAAATCCACCAGTTGGAATGGCCCTGATGTCCAGCATCTGAGTTGGCATGGCCCTGCTGTTCCTGCACTTGTCCAGACTCTGACCTTTCCCTGACCAGAACATTCAGCCCAACTCAACTGTGAAGTAGATTTCTTACTCTCTCCACATGGCTCTGCTCCAGCCTTCCCCAGGCTTCTGATTTTGATCCCTGTAGTGCCAGATAGACTTGTATGTTTTCTGATGTGTGTCAGAGCTCACAATACCTCTGACTCTGCAGTTGTTCCAGGTCAATATACTCCCTGAGAGCCAAAAGGCTCTAAGTTATCAGACTCTTGCTCTTTGTATCTGCTCTTAGCTTAAAAACAATATGAAAAGTTTTATGGTCAAAACTATTCAAAGTACTGATTGGTATCCTCTACTGTGCATTCTCTGGTTCATGGGTAACTAATAAATTTAATCAAAGTTTTGAAACTCATGGTTAATTCAGAGCTATTGAATGAGATTAATTTGAATATCCAAGCAAAAATAGATCGGGTGTCATAACTTTTATTATTAAAATTTGGTGGGGCATGATTAGCCATAGACTTTTCAGATTTTGGTTTTAATTAATGTCCCTATTTTTAAGATTTTTCTGGTGCATTTGTTTGTAGGAGATATTAATAGTCAATCAGTTTTTAAATAAGTGAACATTTCAGTTTCATAGATTCATACACATTCATGATTAAATTCATTAGTTTTATGACAAAAATTAGACACATTCATTTTAAACCATTTAAAAGGGAAGTTCTCTTTTAGCCATCACTAGAAAAAAAATAGCCAGACATATTATAGTTTATTGAGGGTGTGCCTGTATGTTTCTTTAAAACAAAAAAAAAGGACTAATTTGGAGAATTTTAATTCTGTGCCAAATGCAAAAAAATACTTAAAAAAGAGATATAACAAACATCATAGTAAAAGAATTTTTAAAATATGTTTTTATTGTAAAAATGCTGTACAGAGGGGTTACAGTTACATGAGCAAGGTAATGAGTACATTTCCTATCAAGCGTTGTTATCTCCTCCTTTGTTTTTCCCCTGACATCCCTTCCCTCCCACCTCCACAACTACACTCCGCTCCCCTGCCTAAATTGTAAAGTTTGTTTTTCCACATAGTGTCATGTACATCTTCATTGTTACAATGAGTCAATCTGTATCCCTGTTTAAGCATTTTGTTTTTTCCCTTCCCCTCCCCAAGTTAGAGAAGTGTACATACAAGATGCAGGGCACCAACATCAAATACAGTGATTCTTAAATAGAGAAATTTCAGAAAGACTGTTATCTAGTATTTCTTAAGAAAATATTTATCACATTAAGGTTAACAAATGAACACAGATTTAGCAGGTCAACTAGTCTGGATTTCTTTGACAGAAATAAGAAAACAAGCAAAATATAGAGCAAGCCAGGAAAAGAATATAATTATCAGATTGTTTCTGCCTAAACCGTGCTGCCTTGTTCCTTTAGGTCCTGGGCAGACTGAAAATTTGTTCTCATGAATGGAAGCTGACTATTTCTATATTATCTACTTTTTAATAGCATACATACTTCACATAATCAGCTTTTTGCCTTTTGGTGGCAATAGGGTTTGAAGTCATGACCTATGGCTTTGCTGTGGGTTACCACCAAGCCACATCCCAACCTTGCCATTTGCTAGTTTGGAGTTGGAGTCTGTCCCATGTAGCTTTCAATCACAACCTTCTAGATCTCAACTTTCTGAGTACCTAGGATTACAGGTGTGAGCCACTGACACTCTGTAAAATCACTTTTCTTTTCATATAAAAGTAAAGGTTGGCTTTACTCTTATAATTGTAGCTTACCCTGTAACCCTGGCTTACCCCTTATAATTCTAGCGACGCAAGAGGCTGAGGTATGAGTAGTAAGGGCCAAATTTAGCTTAGCAGAGAACCCCATGATATTCTTATCTCTTATTGACAAGAAAAATTAAGCCACGCTTCTTATGAAAGAGAAAGTGTGACTCAAGAAGTAGAATTCCAGCCTTGAGCAAAAAAGCCA